ACTATTTTTGGTGTTTAACTAATTTGGTTAGTTACGCTAAGTTCTAGTCACAGGAATAAATGTAGACTGCCACATGAATGAGCACAGATGTCATTAATGGGATCTGAGAGCAGAGACCCTGTCTGTCTTGATCATCTTTTTAACTCCATCGTTTAGCTCAGTTCCTGGTACATCACAGAATAGTATCAATAAATATCAATAAATATTGGTTGACTTAATAAACTATACTCTAGAATAAAATGTAGGAGCTCTGGTAGCATAGTGGCTAAGGCACTTGACTGCTAACCAGAAGGCTGGTGGTTCAAACCCACCAGCCACTCCTCGGAAGGAAGGTTGGGCAATCCTACTTCCGTAGTGATACTGCCTCGGAAACCCAAGGAGGGGTCGCTATGAGTTGGGGCCGACTCGATGGCAAATAACAAGAAGAAGAAGAAGAAGAAAATGTATGAAAGATTAGAGATTCAGAATTAGTTTTGGACATAGTAATATATAATTTCATATATTTTTAGGGATGCTTTACATGTTTCCCTTTACTAAGGTTTTCCTTTTTTTTCATTTTCTAACTTGTAGAACTCATGATTTACTATTTTTTTAAAGGATGGATTTTTTGAATTTTGAGAAACCCACAAAAGTGTTTAAAATGTTATTCTTAACATTTATTATGTTTAAAGAAACAAAAACAAAAACAAAAACAAAAACTAAAAAAATATTTCTCTTAAAGTGTTTCCCTGAAGAAACAGCTTTGTGTAGAAACTCTAATAGCCTGAGAGGAAGTGCCTCTGATATCTACAGACAAATCTCCAGAGAATGAAGCTTGTACCTGAGATGCAAGATGCTCTGTGTCTGCTTATGGAAATCACGAAAGAGAAGGGAAAATGCGTATTAATCACAGAAGGCATAATCAGTCCAGATTTGAGAGGTTATTCTAAAAATAAGAGTGGTACAGCCAATAGGTTGATGTATCAGCATCAAGATCAGTGTTAAAAGCTATTTTTTAAAAAAATTTTATTATGATTTGGGTGAAAGTTTACACAGCAAATTCATTTTCCATGCAACAGTTCACAAACACTTTGTCTCATGACATTGATTGCAATTTCCCTCAGTGAAACAGCTCTTTTCCCATTTCCTCCCCATAGTTACCTCTTCCCTGTGTCCTTCCCTTCCATGCACTCCTGCCACCCCCCACAGCTATTGCCCTGTGCACACACTGCCCTTCTGTTCTCCCATGATCGATCTCTTCAAGGAGTGTATCTAGCTAATGTATATGCCTGTCTTTTGTTTGGCTGGAAGCCACAGTTGTTGTTGTTATGTGCCGTCGAGTCTGCCCCGACTCATAGCGACCCCTCCTTGGGTTTCCGAGGCAGTATCACTACGGAAGCAGGATTGCCCAACCTTCCTTCTGAGGCGTGGCTGGTGGGTTTGAACCGCCAGCCTTCTGGTTAGCAGTCAAGTGCTTTAGCCACTATGCTACCAGTGGGTTCAATTCCAGACCTGAAGGGCAGCTAGGGGCCGTAGTCTCAGGAGCTTTACCAGGCTATCCTTCTTCCGTAGTGATACTGCCTCGGAAACCCAAGGAGGGGTCGCTATGAGTCGGGGCCGACTCAATGGCACATAACAACAACAACAACAACAACATCAGACCAGCAAACCTGATCCTAAAAGCTAGTTTTTTTTAAAAGAAGGCATAGTCATGACTCTCATACAAATATAAAAGAAACCTATACCAAAAATCTATTTAACTCGGTAATTATTGAGGAACTCAGTAAGTTATTCTAGTGGTTTAAAAACAATTCAAGTAATCATAGATAGAATGATAGATAATAGATAGATAGATAAAGGAATGATAATTAAAAATAGATGCAAAAGAGGTCTCTTCACCAGGCAATGATCCATTGCATCCCCTCACAACCTACATAGACTCAAAGGACTCAGAAGAGTATGTATTTTTGTTGTTTCAGAGGCTGCTTGTGAATATAATAGTTGGCTTGGAAATTGGACATGCTTCCTAAAGAATTATTGAGAAATTTAGACAGAAGAAGTTAAAATAAGTTTAATTTTAATTTTTTCTTAATGACTTTCCGGAAAGATGTAGAGAAAGAACAATTATCTGCCAAGAGCCTTGTTGACAGTGTAGTTTTAGCAAAATTCCTGTCATCAGACTAAAGGGATTTTTTTGAGGGGGGCATTTAGTAAGACAATTGCAAAATTTTCATTGAAATAGAAACGTTTTTAAGAAACAAATCATCCAAACACCAATCTAAACAAATGCAAAACAAATAGCAAACACCTTCTAGGTAGATTTCTTACTATGGAGGGGATATTCTTAAACAGCTTGTGATTTGGACCAAATTCTGGAGTTTTAGAAGTTCTGAACTTAGTCATTTTTTCCCTATCACTTATTAACCGTTTAAATAATTTACTATATGTATCTGGGTTGGTGGAAGTAAATTTTTTTTCTCAACTTTTGTGAAATATTTTAAGGAGTTTTATTAGCAATGGCTCTATATCTGCTAATGTCCATTTTTTGGTATTTCACAAAGACAGGGCTGAGATCACTACTTTACTTTGTTGTTGTTGTTGTCATGTGCCATCAAGTCGGACCCGACTCATAGCAACCCTTCCTTCAGTTTTCGAGGCAGTATCACTACAGAAGTAGATTACCCAACCTTCCTTCCGAGGAGTGGCTGGTGGGTTTGAACTGCCAGTCTTCTGGTTAGCAGTCAAGTACCTTAGGCACTATGCTATCAGAGCTCCCACTTTGCTTTAGAAGACCAAAACATAAAGTTAGCTTTGTTTACAGTATTATGTGTATAATTATATTCATATGTAAACCTCAACATATTTCTTGTAAACTAGCATCTCTTCATAGGGACCATCATAGCATTTTTATAAGCTTGATTACAGGTATAAATTTTTTAAGAAATGTATCCTTTTGTAATATGTAGTTGACATAATAAAAACAAAAACCCTTACAACTGGATCAATAAGCGATATCATGGTAAGCATAGAAAATATTGAGATTGTCAAGGATTTCATTTTACTTGGATCCACAATCAACACTGACGGAGGCAGCAATCAAGAAATCAGAGGATGTATTGCATTGGGCAAATCGGCTGCAAGACTTCTTTAAAGGGTTAAAAAGTAAAGATGTCACTTGAGGAATAAGGTGCACCTAAAAAGAGTTATTTCAATCATCTCATATGCATAGGGAAGTTGGACAATGAATAAGGAAGATGAGAGTAGAGTTTCAGCATTTTAATTATGGTGTTAGCAAAGAGTAATGAAAGGAGCTCTGGTAGCATAGTGCCTAAGGCACCTGACTGCTAACCAGAAGGCTGGCGGTTCAAACCTACCAGCCACTCCTCGGAAGGAAGGTTGGGCAATCCTACTTCTGTAGTGATACTGCCTCGGAAACCCAAGGAGGGGTCGCTATGAGTCGGGGCCGACTCGAAGGCACATAACAACAACACCAACAAAAGAGTAATGAATATACCATGGACTGTCATAAGGACAAACAAATCCATCCTAGAAGAAGTACAGCCAGAATGCTCTTTAGAAACAAGGATGGGGAGACTTGACATGCGTTTGGACGTGTTATCAGGAGGGACCATTTCCTGGAGAAGGACATCGTGCTTGATAAAGTAGAGGGTCCACAAAGAAAAAGAAGACACTTAACAAGATGGATTGACAGTAGTGAACTCAAACATAGCAATGATTGTGAGGACAGAGCAGGACGGGCAGTGTTTCCTTCTGTTGTACTTAGGGCTGCTATGAGTCAGAACTGACTTGATGGTACCTGACCATGTGATCGATTTGGGATTTATAAAAGTTACCTATCTTTTGCGTTGTTGTTATTGTTATGTGCTGTGGAGTCTGACCTGACTCATAGCAACCCCTCCTTGGGTTTCCGAGGTGGTATCGCTACGGAAGTAGACTGTCCAACTGTCTTTCTGAGGAGTGGCTGATGGGTTTGAACTGCCAGCCTTCTGGTTAGCAGTTAAGTGCCTTAGGCACTACGCTATTTTTTTTTTTCATTCATACTCCTTTAAATCTAACGATTTTTTCAGTTCAATGAAATGTTTTAAGGATAATTTTTGTTATCCAATTCATTTTTAGAGAAAACAAAATAAAAGCTGATTTTTGTTCTTGAATAAGTTCTTTCTTTAAAGTTACAGATGTGTAGAAATATATAGTTTTGCATAGCTTCTAAACAAATTTACAATATAACTAAAGAACAAGTGCAAAATTAAGTAAAAAGACATTTATAAAACCCCCTTTTTAAAGTACTTCATGATTGTACTTATGAAAGGTAATATTTTTGTAAAATTTTATAATATCGCAATTGGAAATGAATCTTTCTTTTAGGGGGCAGAAGTTTTAACAACAAATATTTAGAAATCATTTTTAACTAAAATGTGAATTAAACACTGTACCTGAAAAGTATCTTATTGATATTTTCTAGCAAAACTGTTAATAATGGAGTAACATTTTAAAAACAAAAGAAAATCTCCTAAATTAAAATTTTTTTCTATCTCATCTAAAAGAGGAGAAAAAAATTAGAAAAAGAGAAGAGAGTCACAAAGTGAAAACCAAAGTACCAATGGGAAAAACAAAAAGTGGCTATTATAAAGCATTAATCACCAACCTTATTATTTTTTATCTAAATTAAATGTCAGACCCATTCAATTTACTT